GTGGTCTCAGAGGAAAACACCTCACCCTCCTCCTCTGCATTCTCAACCATGTGTCTTTAAAGAGGTCCAGTTTCAAGTATTGCCCGTGTGGCCCCATCACCAGTTAGATTTACAGTGCTTAAAGGTGTCTTACTGGTCTGCTGAAGGAGACAGGGCTGGTGTAGGGCATCTGGACTTTGCAGGAATAGGTTATGCATGAGCACACAGGCTCTTATCCAGCTGCTTCTCTGTCCAGCCTCTGTCTTGAAGGTGTTCCCCAAAAACTTGCATTCCCCTGATCAAACTGGAGCTTATTCTCATTCCCACCCCTGATGCTCCTTTGCATGTTGGTTCAGGAGTGCTAAGGTAATACTCACCCAAATACAGTTTAGTTTATCCTAACGTGTTTATCTTCCTCTATTGACACAAATATCCACATTTATAATGCTAATTTAGGCTGTTATTCCCTGAGTTCTTCTTATTCACATTGAACGTATTTCTTCACAATTAATCACAGGTTCTGCACTGGGATGAATGCAAAAAAAAGACCTTTCCCAATCATCCCTTAGGTCAAAATGCACACTGCATTTATGGCAAAGTTTTATGTTTGTGAAGCCTAATGACAGGATTCCACTGAGAAAAATCATCCAGCTCCCCCTCTGCTTCCCTCTGCCAGCTGTTTGATAAACACCCTGCACTGCTTCACTGAAAACACAAGTGATCTAAACAAAACTCCCCTCTTCACTGCTGTTGAGTGACTCTTCCTGTGTTTAGCATAACTTATTTCCACATACAAAAAGCATTAAGGCCTCTAATAATTTATAAGTTGCCTGGCAGCACAGCTTAAAAAAAACCCCAAGAAATAATAGTCTTTATTTACTAGCTTGGGAATTTCTTCAGATGAAACACTGTTACACGTAGTTGGAGGCAGTAGTCTGTTAACGTATTTTTAAGCCTTTTTTCATGAGCTCTGCAGCCCTGAAGAATAACCCAGAAGCCTAATGCAGAATTGCTTCAGAGACACCAGACTCAGTTTGCAGGACACAAACCAAACCAGCAAAGTGTTGCCTCCAAGAACATTTCTGCTGACAGTGTTGCAGACTGACCTATCAGTATTTCAGGGTTTGGAGCATAAAAGTATCTTGGAAAGCCAAAAGCAATTTAAAGTTTTCAGTTCAATAATGTAAGTTTGCTTTAGGCCTTGGCATTCAGTCTAGATGGCAATAACTGATCCAGTGCAGGAAATGCAGAGTTTAGGTTTTAAATTAAACCCAAAATAAGTTAACCTAGAAAAACATATGGGTTGGTGTTTTTTTACATAGCGGAGATTACTTTCAGGCAAAACAGCAGAAAACCAGCTTGGGAACAAACACAATTCTCATTTGGCAGTGTCCAGTTTGGGATTTAGCTCTGTGTTCTCCTTGGAGGCAATTTGTTAACTTAAAATTTATCACTAAAAAAAAAGGCAACACAGTGAAAAGCTGAAATATCACCATTTCAGTAAAGTGCGTGGGACTGTGACACGTGATGGCTTCGCTATGACCTTATCTCGGACGCTGGGCTGAAGGAGGGGGATGCCAAGTTCTTCACTATTCTATTGAGGTTGGCAATCTTTTCTTCTAGCAAATAGTTTTTCCTTTCTGCAGTTTTCTGCCTCTGCTCTGTCATCTCCAAGGCCTTCAGCAGCTGTGCATTCTCAACGTAGAGATCCTTGACCATGGCATCTGCTTTGGTGTTCTTGGAGAGCTGCATAGTGAACAGGACATAGTTACTCAGCAAATTCAAAGTCAAATGGAAAAATTAATGTTACAGATTCACAAGAGGATCCACAAGCCCAGTGATCCCACAGAGATACTTCCACTGAGGTCTGGAGAACAATCTCCTCCTGCAAAATTGGGAGGAGCACCCTAGAACTTGTCTACATGTGTTTGGGAACACTCCCCTTTGGCAGGAGACACTGTCAGTACAGCAACTCCTTAACGTGACAGAGCAGACTGTACCTCAGGAGGAAACAGATGATGATGTTACTATCATTATTATTAGCCTCTCTTAAGTATTTAAAGTCAACTTCTTCTACCAGGATAAGAACAAAAACCCCCAAATCACCTCAAGCAAAGTGTGAGTTACAGCAGGAGGGATCAAGAAATCAGTAATTGCACAACTCTTCAGGAAATTATTTTTCCTCCTTTTCTAAGCAAGTTTTCCAGTTAGGAGACTTGGCTAGAATTAGATGTTTGTTTCCTGATGTAGGAAATTGGTGAGCGGTGAATTCAGTTTCTGATTTGGAGTACTAGGAATTTTGGGGTAAACATGAGGTACTTGAGCTCAGAAGCATTAAAATAAGGAGGAGAACACTTCTAGCTTTATTCCAAAGAACAGCTCAGCAGCTTTGGCCCACGGAGCTGTTTACAGCAGGA